TACATCATCACACATTTCTGTCCCCTGCAAAATCATTGTATGCTGTGTAAATTCCGTTGTTTATATAGCCTTTTTAATCAGTTGATTAAATTAACAGGAATAATTCCTCCTTGCTGTTGAAGAGGTAATTTTGGTTTCTAGGCACTGTCAAGTAGACCAGGGCAAAGAAAACAATCCTCTTATGAGAATTATGCAGGACACGCAAGAGTCTGAAGCATAAAAAGCATCAGAATCTTCACAAATCATAAAATAAACCAAGTGGAAAAGCATCCCAGCAGCACACCCTGACCAACTCAAAGCTGGGCAAACCTAAAGGATTCTGCCTTAAAGGCCTGCTCTATTTAAGAGGGAGTTTTCAACCAATACTCTTTCCGTCCCACCAGTTACTTTGTATCCAGCACCAGTAATAGAGAGAGCAGACTGTTCCAACGGAGAAGTACCTTGTCAGCTCTAACACTGAAGCTGCATCTGCTTCCGTCTCCTGTTGCCTGCAAACCCCACCAGTCAGAGCGAAAAAAAAGGGGATGCAGCTATTTACAGATCAAACACCTACACAAATGTCATGGATTAAGATAACACTGTATTAGGAAAGGCAGATACCTCCTTTAAGATTATGGAACAAAGCATCTAACACACTTCAGTCTCACTACCTATGCCCTACCACATTGTGATTTCTAGTACCTATTTTGCTTACAAAAAAAACCCCAATAGTGGCACAAAAACTGAGATTCTATACAGCTCACCATAATCATGGTTTCAATCAGCTCATCTATCAAATTTGTCAGACTGGGCAAATCTGCTCACCTAAAAGACCACCCCCCCAAAAAATCCACTCAAAGCCAAAAAAAACCCAATAAAATACACAAACAAAAAAATAACAACAAAACCACAAAAACCCCACAAAAACCAACCAAACAAAAAACGCCACACAAATCCCAAATCCACTGTGCGGCACTCAGGAAGGCAGAAAGAGCGCTGTGTTTCACCTTCTTGGAGTGGTATATCTGTATTTCCTTATTAAGAGTAGCTCTGAGCTGTCAAAAGAGGGTTCCCAGGTGACTGTTACTTTATCCATATGTATTAAAATCTGCTAATTCTCAGCGTAAATATAGCAGATGACCAGTGACAATATTTGTCTTTTATACTTACTAACAGCTACAAATTCTCCACTTCTATCAAGTTTCAAGTTTTTCAACTTCTTTGAAAAAGAAGCCACATTCAAAAAGGCTTGAAAGTCTCAAATGAGATGCTTGTTCATACTAACATACCTACCATAAATGTCTAAACTGCTTTTCACAATCTCATCACGGAAAATTATTTCTCCTGCTCTCAGAGATCCCAGATAGAAAAAGGCTCCAAGTCTTTGTGCCATCTCCCCAGAAAGTATTTTACTTCAGCAAGCTCATCTTTGAAGCCTATATACAGTAGTTTAAACTACGTAAAGATAAAATCTTTTGGTAGACTATGAGGTTCTGAGTACAAGAGTCTTCTAGTCATGGTAGGTACACATAGCAGACAAAACATGTGCTTCATGCCAGGGAGTATGAATACATTGTCCTTATACCCATTCATGCCATCCTTACAAAGCACGAGGTTGCCAAGCTTACATTCAAGTTTTGTTCACAAGCCTATGGGTATCCAAAGCACCTCCTTGCATGTGCAGTGGGGCTCTGCAGATCATGCGCTTAATCACCTTAATATCATGTGGAAGATCCAGTGTAAGAGCACCATGCTGTCTCCTCTCCCTCAGGGACAGGTGGGAAGAGGCCTTTCTGTGCCACAATCAAGGTGCCTCTATGTTCACCAGGGCACATTAGTGCTGCAGACAGGGTTATGTTCATGTTGTATTTTTTTCTCCCAACAATCTTTCAGCCACCACCAAGCACACTCAACTCTGTCAGGCAGTTGTTTTCTGCAGTCCAGAGGTCAAGGTCAGTATAGAAGATATCAGCTCAGGGCCTGCATGCAGTGCCCCTCCCACACCTTGGGTTAAGCACACCTCAAAGACAAATGGCTAAACTTATTCAAATGGCCTCCAAGTTGAACTTTTATGTTAGTAACTGACGAATACAGGACAGGAAGGAGAAAGGAACTGATGCCACCCTTCATCTACAAATGCATCCCCCTCAGAAATCTCTACTAGTCAGGCTACCTAGGATTTAATACTGTACCTGCCACATCTGCCTTAGACACAATCTGAAGACTGGCAACACGCTGTGGTTTTGTAGCTGCAGGCTAGAGAATGCATTCACACACAGGGTCTGACCTTTGGAGTAAGACACAGTTATTTGCCTCTTCTCTCTGCTAAATCCAGCCACCTTTTATGTGGATCCTACCTGTCAAAATGAATCACAGTTATCCGGAAATCCCTAGTAGGCCTCATGCAGACATTCAGACTTCAACTGGCTGCCTTTGTTAGGGCTGTTTTTAAAGACCTGTGGCTTAACTCTTAACATAATGCAAGATTATCAGAGTGGACTGTGAGCTCCTACAACTATTGATTCCTGTTCTATACAAGGCCATCCTATGGCATGCCATACACATATAGTATTATTTTCTATCATGTAGGTCTAGAAATATTAACTTGAGGCATGAGGAACTTCAAGCAAAAGAAACTCCAAAACATAAAGAGAAGTGCACTGATCAAAAGTAACTGAAACTTGTAGCTGAGTTTATGCAATCCAAGATCAACAAAGTTTTAGTGAACACCCACAGGAGTTCTTCCTAGCAGGTTGTCTATTAAAACTTAATGGCAAAACAGAAGGAGTATGGCTCAGTCAAGTTGATAAATTCAGAATGACAGGTCTAGCTAAAAAGTCAGTTAGCAGATACAAGATCAAAACCCAATAAGATCATCCCCCCATGTCCCCCAAAGAAATCAAATACAAGCTGAGATTCCTTTAATATAGATTAACTAAGGTGGA